CAACAGCCAAAATCATACTAAATGGACAAAAACTGAACGTTTTCACTCTAAAATCAGGAACATGACAAAGATCGCCACTAGCACCACTTCTATTCAATATAGTTTGGGAAACAGCCAGAGCAAATACACAAGTGAAAGAAATAAAAGAAATAAAGATAAGAAAGGGAAAAGTTAAATTATCGTTATTTGCAGATGAATGATACTCTACGTAGAAGACCTCAAACACTCCACACCAAAAGACTTCTAGATTTAATAACCAAATTCAGTAGCATAGGTGTATACAAAGTCAACACTCAAAAATCAATTAACATTCCTGTACTCAAACAAATTCACTGAGAGAGAAATTAGGGAAACCACACCCTTCACAATAGCATCCCCAAAATGTGAAATACTTAGGAATCAATCTAACAAAGGAAGTAAAAAATCTATACATTGAAAATTACAATACTCTGAAAAAGGAAATCAAAGAGGATATCAGAAAATGGAAAGATATCCCTTGATCATCGATAGGAAGAACCAACATAGTGAAAATGGCCATACTCCCAAAATTGGTATATAGATTTACTGCAATCCCAATCAAACTGCGATTAGCATACTTCATAGAACTAGAGAAAACATTCCTAAAATTCATTTGGAGCCAGAAGTATATTCATAAAGTTTCATGACCACCGCCATAGTCAGTCAATTGTAGGGCACTTTCATTACCTGGAAAAGAAACTCCTGATTGCTTGGCTCTTGGCTTCTCCTAGTCTGTTCTTCCCATATTCTAGGAAATTCATTTCTTTTTGGTCTTTATAACTGCCCTGTTCTAGACATTTTGCATATACAGAGTCATATTTAGTTCTTTTACACTGAATTCTTTCACTTAGTGTAATGTTTTCACAGTGTTCATGTGTGTTGTAGCAAGTACCAGCACTTTATTTCATTCTACTGATAGGAAATATTGTATTATACAGCCATGCCATTTATCCACTCACCAGCTGAGGTCACTTTTTGGCTGTTAGTGATAATTTTGCTATGAACATTGACTTGCAAGTTCCTGAGTGCTACACATACTTTTATTTCCCTGCCACTGGCTTTTATCCTCTGAGTTAATTGGCTCGTTGCACCATCTCTCTGCTACTCTTCATCATGTCCTGCCTTTTCAGTTTTCTTTTCTTTTTTTTTTGGTTTTTCTCCGGTACCGGGAACCAAACTCACGACCTTGCGCTTGCCAGGCAGATGCTTTTGCCGCTGAGCTAAATCCCCAGCCCCTTCAATTTTCATTTGTTTGTCCTCCTTTATTTAGAACTGTTTCACAATTTAATCTTTTTGTTAGGATTTCTCTGACTGCTCTCTAATCGACCTATCTGACCTTATCTATGCAGAATAATTTCACCATTAGTTTTGTTTGAAGCCATTTATTTAACTTTACAGTTGTAGCAGAAAACTAGCCGTAAGCAGCACCCACTGAGTGGGTAGGGCCATTTTCCAATGACAATTTTTTGACAAAAACAAGAGATGGGCAGAGCGGTATTATATTACTAGTAAACTTCCTTTTTCATCATTTTAGTTGCAAGAAGCACAGGATCGACACAAAGAAGCTGTACAGCGTGCAGAGAAGATGGAAGATCACCTACAAAAGTATAACTTAAAACATCATGTGCAATAATTTGTATATTTATAAAGCAAATAGGAACTGTGGTATGAGCATTCTATCAGTTATGATAATAAATACATGCAAGTGAAGCCAGGAGGAAATTTCATGTCAACTTCAAATGCATATTTTCGGCCTGGGGATGCACCCCAGGGACTGAGTGTAAGCTTTGTATGCATATGACCCCTGGGTTCACTCCCCAGCACTACAATAGGTAACAAAGAAAGAGAAATGTTAAGTTTTTGCATATTGTCCCTAAATTATGCACATTGTTCACAAAACAATGCTAGAAAAATGAAAGAGTAACCATAGCTTGCATTTTCATTTTAAATTTTAAGAATTTATGTAATACCTTTTCAGATGTTTATTGAGATTAACTGGTGATTTAAAATTGGTCTATAAAAATGGCTTTTCAAATATACATTTTAGGCTTAAACTTGAAAATTCCAAGTTAAAAGTTACAATAAAAAAGCAAGCAGAAGAAAATGAACGGCTTCAGAAAAACCTTACAATTGCAAATTTGGTAAGTTGATCTTTTAGTAATTTGTGTCAGACTAAATAGGAATTTTTACTTTCCTTGTAGCGGTAGTATACAGGAATATTTTAAGCAGTTGACTGAATAAAATATTTATTGTATTCATATCAGTATTACTTTCTATTAGTAGTGCAAGTCCCTTTAATACAAAGTGATTGAATTCACAAAATGCATGTTTGTGGTTATAAGATTTTAAAGATTGTGATAGCATAAAATGAGAATTTTGTTCTTACAACGTTTTATTTATCTATTATCTATTGAAGGTCATGCGGTCATTTTCACCTTTTGGCTCTTGAGAATAATACTGCTCTGGACACTGGTGTTCAGCTATGTTTGAGTCACTGCTAATATATTAGAAAAGTTTCTGAGATCCCAAAAAATTTAAGTGATTCTTTGATTCAAAATTCTCAATTTCTGTTGTAATCTAAGTCTTTCAGTGTGGTTTTAGAAATGAATTGTTTGTAATTTGTATTCCTCATCAAGAATGGATGGCAGATTATTGTTTAGACAGCCTCTTCCATCAAGGAATATGTTTTCTGTTTGGATTTTTTAAAAACAGAAGAGATGCCAGTGAAAAGGTGGAAATGGCTACTTGGTCTACTAGCACTTCCCAGAATATCCTAACGGTCCTAGCATTTGCAGGTTTAGAAATGAACTATTCTCCATTCATTTGTGTTCTCTGTCCTTTCAAAGAGTTAACAGTCCAATCTCAGAGAAGACGAATGTTTAATTTTGGATATGTTACTAATGTAGAAACAAAACTACATAACTATTTAAGAGGCAAAAGAGAAACTCTTCTTTCCTTCATACTCTCCTTGATAGCAGCTGCAGCCGTGACACTGCATTGCGAAGACTGCATTGGCATGGTGAGGTAGCTGCTCCCACTAACAGGTGTCTTTCAGTCACAGTAGCTGGGTTCATGCTGCTCGTTTTACACATACACCTTTCAGGTGTTGACTGGCCTTACTCATGGCCAGAGAAACACTGAGAAATATTTTTTTCTGAATTTCATGTAAGTCTCATTTGTTAGCACACTTTTTACACTCATCATGTGACCATACATTGACGCAGAGTCCTCTGTGAATGAGAAGGGACGCCAGGAGCCATCTGCTTTCATAGTGTCATGCAGAAATGTATGAAGGCACCAAGCACCGAGAAACTGGTAATAGCACCTAAAACCTAGTGATCTTCAAATCTTCAAATCTTCTGTACATTCACGTGGAAGTGAATTGGGAACACAGCATAAAATTATTAGCCATGTTGAAGTCTCTGTGAATGAGAAATGTAATGAAAAATCTTTCAGCTCTCCTACTCAGTAGCCCCAGCTTCTCTAGGACGTTTTCATATCGTGCATCCCTACCACTCAGATTGCATGGGTTAGGACTTTTTATATACACAATTTTGTCTGGATTGGGAAAAGATAATTGTATCTGTCTCAAGCCTCCCTCCAGCCAGGGATATAGCTCAGTGGCATAAGCACCTACCTGGCAAGCGCAAGGTCCTGAGTTCAATCCCTGGTACAAAAAAAAAAAAAAAAAAAAAAAATCAAGTGTCCAAATAGTATGGTTGACTGTACCTCTGAAAGAAACCTCAGAACAAGATGTCAGCAGGTCAGTGTACAGAATGAAATGATTCAAAGCAAAACAAAACAGTAGAGCATACCGCAGCCCTGCTGTGGGTCCCCAGCAAGCAGTGTACGGCCACAAGCAGTACAGCAGGCAGTTGGACACTATATCCCGAGGGGCCCGACAAAACCAGCAGTATGTGAAGTGAACTGCTGCTGTGCTTCAGCATGCACACAAGTGGAACAGAAGTAGACAGAAGGGGCCGCCATTTTACTCCAAAGGGAACAGAGTGAACCCCAGGATAACAGGCCTGGGTGTCTTTATGCTAAAGCCCTGGAGTGGAATAAGTGAAGAGTCATCCAGGCACAGTAGACTGCAGGCAGTTGGGAGGCAGGCTAGGGGGAAATCTGCTAAGACCACATAGACTCTGCTCAGGTGGTTGCCCAAAGTGACTCTTAGCCCTAAATACAAAGGACTGGATATGCCCTTCTGCTCTGGGGCCAGCGGAATGACCCTGACACCATGGCACAAGCAGACAAGCTCCTTCCTCCTACCAGGCATTCCCACTGACAAGGGCATTCCCCCTGCCCCACAATTAGCAGATAAGAGCTAGTGGTGTAGAATAGGGGAAGCTGTACAAGGTGCAGAAACAGACAGTTGTACATGGCTCTGGGAACAACCATGGGCTTTCCCTATCTGAGAGTGTCACAGCAAATGAGATAGTGCCATAGAGACAAACATGGTAAGGATGAGTGGACAAACGTTGTCAGCTGGAGACCAGTCCTAGCCCCTACCTTCACAGGACAAAATCAGCCCCACCCAGCACAAATTCTACTTCAGACTTGATGGGGTTACAGACCATATCGCTGGGATCCAACGACATTACTACAGAATGGTGGACATCAAAGGAATTGTATTATCTTTTTCTTTGATTGGCTTTGCTTTTTCAGGCTGATTAGGGCAGAGTTTGTTTTGTTTTGTTTTGTTTTGGGTTTGGTTTGTTTTGTTGTTGTTTTGGATTTTTTTGTTGCTTTGTACTACTGTATTTGTTTGTTCTTGGTTTCTTTTTATTGGCTTTTTTTTTTGACTAATTAGATTTATTATCTGTGTTTTTTTGTTATGTTCATCTTTTGTCTCTTCCCTCAACTATCTCTCTTGATTTTATGATACTTTCATGTGAATGAACATCATCTCTTCTTTTTCTGGTTTGCTTCAATATTTGTTTGCTTACCCTTTAATTCTTTCCTTTCTGTACTATTCTCAAGCCTCCCCAAAACTGAGTGATCATCATAAGCCCTGTAGCCTTACTTCTGCTACATTTATCTCTCTGTTTTGTCTCTGTCCCTCTTGAATACCACTCAAACAGGGTAAAATCAATTTACCAAGGGGGAAACTCATTACACACTCCTGGCATATGTTAGATTTGTTATATAAGTGTAGAGTCTGCTCCTAAGGTTAAAGATACCAAATAATAGTTACCACAGTTTGTCAGTTGTTACACTGTGCTTGATGATATTGTTATTGCTAATTGTACTTCTTTAGCCAGGATGTCATACATGTTGTAGTCAGTCTTTCTCCCTCATATGAGAATATTGTGATTGTCTGGGTTAATAACCCATCACCATAGTCCAACAGCAAAGGACGGGGTGCTGAGCCAAATAAATATTAACTTCTCATCCTTTATAAATTGGAAGGATAGGTTCTTGGGATAAACACAAAGGCCAGAACCACCTACACCTAAAAGTTCGACATTCCCTAGGAAAGTATGGATACTAGGGATAAAGCTATCTACCATAAAAAATCTACAAGAGCCAACACAGAAAATAAAATATAGAAAATGACATGAAGCAGAAGCAAAATGCAACCCCAGACCACCCAGCCCCTCCAGGACAAGTCCAGAGCACAGTGAAATAGGGGAAATCAGAATCCATACATTGGATTTGTCTGAAATTATAGCAGCATAAGTGAAAAACCAAATGAATATTACTATAGAAAAGATAATCTCTCAGGTAAAAAAAGGAAATGATGATCAAAGTGAAAGACATGCCCAATGAATCTAGAGTAGATACAGGTTTTAAAAATACAGGTACTAAAGCAAATGATGGAAACCATGAATGCTGAAAATAGGAAAGAAATGGAAACCATGAAACAGATCCCAATAGATATCCAAGAGATTTAAAACTCAGTTGAAAATATATGCAATCAATAGAATGAAGACAAAAATAAAATATCAGATCTAGAAGACAGGATTGCAGTTAGTGACCATGACAAGAAGAATGATATCTTAAAAACAGCAAGGGGTCATGGAAAATCAATCCAACAGTTGCAAGATGAAGCAAAGAAATAAATAAGACATTGGAGTTGATAGGAAAGCTGAAGATAGCTTAAATGCCATTAAAAATTTCTTCACAGAAATAATGGCAGAAAATTTACCAAATACGGATAAAGAATTTGACATACAAATAAAGGCATATAGAACTCCAGTCATCCATGACCAGAATAAATCCATACCAAAGCGTATAATAAGATCCCCGAAATTCAGCACAGGAACAGAATCTTAAAAGCTGATAAAGAAAAAGATAGCTTTTAAGAAACAGCTTATCAGAAAAGGAAAGCCCACCAGAATCACAGCAGAGTTCTCAACACAAACCCTCAAGAAAAGAAGAGCTTGGAGTAAAATATTCAAGTACTGTAAGAGAACAACTTTGAACCTAGACTGATGTACTCTGCTAAACTGTCTTTCAAAATTAATGGAGAAATAAGATACTTCTATGACAAAGAACAACTGAAAAAATTCATGACCACCACACCAGCTCTCCAAAATACTCTGAAGGATACTTTAGGAAAAGATAAGGAAGGCCAAAATTCCAAGAACACCAATAGAAAGAAGGAAGCAAGCAGGGAAAGCAATTAAACAGAAGGGAGACAGGGTACCAACAATTAAAAAAAAATAATAATATGAGAAAGATAAGCTAACACATAACAGTTATAACCATCAATATAAATGGTTTCAATTCACCAATCAAAAGAAACAGACTGGCAGAATGGACGAAGAAGCAAGATCCAACAATATGCTGCATTCAACAAACACATTTAACTCAAAAAGTATTTCATAGATTGCAAGCCAAAGGATGGAAAACAATACTCCAGGCCACAGGAAGTCAGAAGATAGCAGGGATAGCTATTCTATTTGCAGACAATATGAACTTCAAGCCAAGACTGATCAAAAGAGACAAAGAAGGTCAGTACATACTTGCTAAGGGCAACTCCAGGAAGAAGAGATAACAATTATATATATATATATATATGCACCAAATGCCAGTGCACCCAATACATAAAACAAATATTAACAGACATGAAAAATCAAATAAGCACCAACACAATTCTAATAGGGGACCTTAATACCCCACTCTCACAAATCGA